ACCCAAAATTGAACAAAAATGACCCAAAAATGACCCAAAAATGACTCAAAAAATGAGCAAAAAATGACCAAAAAAAGCCCAAAAAAGCCCCAAATTGACCCAAAATTGATCCTGAATGATCAATGGGTGATCACAGACCCAAAAATGACCCAAAAATGACCCAAAAATAATCATAAAATCGACAAAAAAATCACTAAAAATCACCAAAAATCGCTCAAAAATCGCCCAAAAATCGCCCAAAAATCGCCAAAAAAATTCCCAAAAAATCCCAAAAAAATCCCAAAAAATCCAGAAAGCCCCAAAAAGCTCCAAATTACCCCAAAAAAGCCCCGGAAAGGGCGGACTGACCATGGCCGAGCCGGTGAAGTCGCGGGCGTGCATTTTCTCCGTCAGCCAATCCCTGCTGAGCCCTGAGGGAGCCCCAGCCCCCAAAAAATGACCCCAAAAATGACCCAAAATGACCCAAAATGACCCAAAATAACCCAAAATTGATCCTGAGTGATCAATGAGTGACCAGAGCCACAGAAATGACCCAAAATCACCAAAAAATGACCCAAAAATGACCCAAAATTGAACAAAAATGACCCAAAAATGACTGAAAAAAATGCCTCAAAAATGACCCAAAAATGACTCAAAAAATGACCCAAAAAAAGCCCAAAAAAGCCCCAAATTGACCCAAAATTGATCCTGAGTGATCAATGGGTGACCAGAGCCCCAAAAATGACCCAAAAATGAACAAAAATGACCCAAAAAAGACTCAAAAAATGAGCAAAAAATGAGCAAAAAAATCACCCAAAAAAGCCTCAAATTGACTCAAAAATGACCCAAAAAATGACCCAAAAATGACCCAAAAAAGCCCCAAATTGACCCAAAATTGATCCTGAATGATCAATGGGTGATCACAGACCCAAAAATGACCCAAAAATGACCCAAAACTGACCCAGAAATCGACAAAAAATCGACAAAAAATCACCAAAAATCGCCCAAAAATCACCCAAAAATCGCCCAAAAAAATCCCAAAAAATCCCAAAAAATCCCCAAAGCCCCAAAAAGCTCCAAATTACCCCAAAAAAGCCCCGGAAAGGGCGGACTGACCATGGCAGAGCCGGTGAAGTCGCGGGCGTGCATTTTCCCCGTCAGCCAATCCCTGCTGAGCCCTGAGGGAGCCACAGCCCCCAAAAAATGACCCCAAAAATGACCCAAAATGACCCAAAAATGAACAAAAATAACCCAAAATTGATCCTGAGTGACCAATGAGTGACCAGAGCCACAGAAATGACCCAAAATCGCCAAAAAATGACCCAAAAATGAACAAAAATGACCCAAAAATGACTGAAAAAA